GGTTATTACGAGGATACCTCAAAGTATGCACGAAGACAGTACAGCGGAAGTATCGACCGACGCGCAGCGACGGGTGTCGATGCGACGGCGTACTGTCTAAGTGCATATTTTGAGATATCCTCGTAATAACCTTATTATTATACATCTTTTCCTTCCAAGGATACATCATGGGAATGCCGAAATTCAAAAAGCTTAGAAAAGAATCAGCGAACTTCTTTGTGTGGAGTCTGGCCAAACCCTGGTGGCAGCAATGTTTTGTTTTTTGATGAAAACACCCAGCAAAATTATGACTTTTGGCGTTACGGTGACAGATGTATAATAAAAAATGTTATCGGATGATATTGGTTGAAATTTATTAAAATCATTTATCCAATACAATTTCAATATACTGTTCCACATATTCAGTGTTTGTTAATATATCCTCTGCGCGACCTATACAAGCTGGGGTCTTACAACGAAGTACTGGGAAAATCAACGCAATTTTTTGTCCAATTTGAAACTTTTAGTTTCAAAATTTGAAAATGATATTGTAATAAATTATCTCTAGATTCGATAGGTTCTTTTGTTTTTATGTAAATCAATTGAACTGCACTTCTGAGATCAACATTCCTAACCACGGACTTACGTCACACTTTTCAACTTCGCCGTGGACGTCCGTGGGCCTGTCACGCGCTGAAGAGAACGTGGTGCAACCCGTGAGTGAAACTGTAGCTAATGTACTCTACTCTGCGGTAACAGTGGGCATTCCAATTTTAAAATATTAACACAAATATCTGTTTAGGAATGTTTGAAATGAACAAACTTAAGCAAGAACATCATTTCTAACATTTGGTTGTTTAATTGTACGACACTCGGGTATCTCGTGGTGGAGAATACGCCTTCCCAATAAATCGCGCCCTCTACGTCAAGTATTATACGAGATTCACAATCGAACGAGACGTTCAACGTTGCTAAGACGCGCACCACTGTACCATGTAATTATATGGGCTCTGTGCGCGCTGCTGTGGAGGAACCGGTGAAAATAGCTAAAATCGAGAAAACAACAAACACAACTCCCGAACAACCAAATTTGTATATGTTACACACGCAGGGGTAATCTTGTTGCACTGTTCAGGGCAGTCTCAACAACCATCCCAAAGTACCGTTTTTACCTTTGTTTTTACCGTGATGGTTGTCAGGCGGTGAAAATGCCCGGATGTCCGCCCCAGAGAATATGCACACCCGCGTTGTCGTCACAGGAAGCGCTGTTCTAGTATAGAGGGAGGGGGCAAGGGTTATTTTCGTTCAACGTAATTGCAATTGTTGTATGTTCGTACAACGTAAATTGAAAATAAATAAATTCCGTAATTCTGTAATCACAGGCTAGACTAGACGTACAACGTAATCGATCAAATATTTTTTTCGTACACTGTAAAAAGGTTTCATTTTTTTCGGTACGTACAAGAATTTTCTAGTTTTTTTTCTTAATCATCCTTTAAAATTAAAATAATCTTTATTTTCTCTGTAAACTGTAAACATTCAATTTTCACTGTAAAAATGTCTTTTTTTCCTTGTAAATTGTAAAAAGCCCTATTTATTTCCCGTAAAACTGTACCAGCTACCCCCCTTGCCGCCCCTCAGTATAGAAGACGCCGACCTGCAGTGTCAATGTGTACACCCGCCAACAGAAGCGCTTCGCCGCAAGAGGGCGTAACTTTTAGGGACTGTATATCGAGGATGAAGCTTTCATTGATTCTTTGTTCGTAGTAAAAGTAAGAATTTATAACCATTTGCCCGTCGTTTACACTCAATTTGACTTTGCTTGGCCGACATGGACATGTACAATATGGCCACTAGTATCCTCGGGGCGGAGCTACGTCACAAGACGTTCGAATTCCACGTTGCTAAGACGCGCACCACTGTACATGCATTTCTATTTGGTTGTTTAATTGTACGACACTCAGGTATCTCGTGGTGGAGAATACGCCTTCCCAATAAATCGCGCCCTCTACGTCAAGTATTATACGAGATTCACAATCGAACAAGACGTTCAACGTTGCTAAGACACGCACCACTGTACCATGTAATTATATGGGCTCTGTGCGCGCTGCTGTGGAACGCCGGGCGAGCCGGTGAAAATTCGAGAAAACAACACAAACTCAAGTTTGAACAACCGAATTTATATATGTTACACACGCAGGGACAATCTTGTTACACTGTTCAGGGGAGTCTCAACAACCATCCCAAAGTACCGTTTTCTGCAAGTTTTTGGCCTTTGTTTTCACCGCGAGGGTTGCCAAGCGGTGAAAATGCCCGGATGTCCGCCCCGAGGATTATGACTGAGGAAGGCATTCTCCTTCCCAGAGTTCCTTGCGGTTAGATCACCGAAAGTATCTCTGCCACCACACACCGCCATTTTGTGGTGAAACACCACAAGACTTTTACTACGCGTAACATTTGCGTATTTTTGTTATTAGATGGCTTTCGTGTTGATTTATTCCTACTTGAAAACAAGTTTTAAATTATTTCGTCGATAGCTGATAATGATTTTTTCGTAAACACACTGAAAACGGTGAAATAGTTATAATTTACAAAGAAAATAATTTCATCGCGGAATAACTGTTACTATGTGTTACTCGGTTCATCAAGCTGACGGCCCTGTCGATCGC